CTGGCCTGCAGCACTGGGCTGCCTCAGACTTAAACATGGTCTCAAAACGAAGGACAACGTTGTCATGTCTCTTATAAACATTAGATGGCAGTAGTTTTTTCCACGGACGTTATCTGCTCTCAGCAGCAAAAAGAAAGAGGAGGACTTCCTGTCTCTATCGACTCTCCAAAAATGGCGGATGTTTGTGGCCAAGTGTTATTGGGATCAGGGCTTACTGTGCTCTCACATCCTTTGATGTACATTAAAGTCCTGATCCAGGTAAGAGAGTTTGGACAGATTGCGTTTCCTTGCAGGGCCTCATTCAGACACTCTTTACTCATCTTTGTAAATACTGTAACTCTCGCTGGTATCTGACTAGAAGAGGAAATTGTCATTCATTTTCACAGTGTATTGCCTCGTTTACCAGTAGATTAGTAGGTTTGTAGCACACACAGAGACCTTTAATAAGTCTTGATAACTATTTATCTGAGAATATAGCAGGAACTGTCCCAGTAATAGGATCAGACACATTGTTGTCCCGGCTGTTGTCCCTGTGACCTTCTGTTTCCTCATTGCTGTGCAATAGGCGGAATCCGCGTGTTGATCGAAAGTTAATCATTAACTGCAGTGTTGCGCTGCTTCGTTTATATTCTGTGCGCAGGTTGAATAAAAACAATCTATGAGACATAATTCTACACAGTTCATTCATGGCTTATTTTCTAAGAAAGCCAGCGGCGCTAAGTTGCCATTTGTTGAACTGCTAGAGATCACCGCCAGCTAGCTGTCAGCTGATTAGCTGAACGCCGCTTTCTGTAGTGTTTTACACTGATGTCAACACACGGTGTATATTCATGAGTTTGTCATTGGGAGAAACGTGTTTGCTTCTCAGTTATGAATACTGGAAGCTCGATGATGAAAAACATGAAAATAACGAACACAGGACACGAGCACACAGTAGAGCACCGGGACGTGTATCGATTAACGTTTGCTTAATTACAACCAAAAATAGCTTCAGGTTGATCTTAATGACAGAATAAGTCATGATAGTTTTACTGGATGCTAACAGTTGTCTGCCTTGTGTACCGTGTCCATATTTGTAGCAGTCGGCTAATCATCAACTGTGTGGGTTAAATACATGAATGCAGCACAGTGCACACACTGGTGCCTGTCACACTT